AAGATGAGCACTCCATGTTTTCGGTTGAGATGAAGAGAGGTAGCAGACGAAGAGGGGGAGTAGATGGAGATGATTGGGCAGAGAACAAGAGAGACAGAGAACGAGAGAGAGGCAGAGAACGAGAGAGAGGCATTCTGCCTTAGGCGGAGGCGCATGAAGGATTAGGGAACCCTAGTTGTCTTGTTATGGGCTTTATATATATGTNTCATCAATTTAAGTCACATATTGAGTGTTTTTTTGGGATCTTTTCAATTCCTTCCTCTTAAAGTTTTTGGACGTGTTTATTTCGTACATGGTAGATCATCCAAGGAAAAACTTGGTCCAAAGGTTTTGTGGTGTATTTTTGTTGGTTATTCTCCCACCCATAAACTTTGGTCGTAGCTACATTTATGGAAATTATGGTCGCTCAGGCCATTGTACCTTTTAATTATGGTATGGTATTGTCAATTCCGAACATTGGGCTACTTTATTTGTTTGCCATATCTTTGCTAGGTGTTTATGGAATTATTAAGTGTGACCAACCACAGTCCTAGAAGATTTATGTTACCATGAATGTTATCTTTTGTAAGTTTAAGTCTTTTTTTCTTCGCTCCAACCATCTTTACTGTGGTATGTCAGGAGTCTTTTTTTTCTATTGTTTTTCTAGTGAGATACTCATAAAGGGGAGCAACAAATTATTGGTACCAATGATCCACTTGGTACTTTGAAGATTTATTCTTAGCATCGAAAGGTACAGATCACCCATATGTTGCCGAGTTAGTTCCTTCACTCCAGTATTAGAATCTCTTATTGTCTTACTCGGTAATGAGTTTCCAGTTGTCACTCTTGTTATTGATAATCTAATTGTTAGTGGTTGTGAGCTTCTTATTATAGTTAGAAAAGGTGTTTGAGCTTATACGCAACACCCATCTCTAATTTTGTCTTTCATGATTCGTCGTCTCCGTTCTATTGTACGTTTATTTCCTGCTTATCTTCTATATTTTTTCCTTAGGGTTTGAAGGAAGCTCTCAGTGATCCAAAGTGGAGAGAAGTTATGGTAGGGCAAATGAGAGCCCTAAAAAAGAATCACACATGGGAATTAATTCCACTTCCTATTAGAGCAAGGGCACTTGGGTGCAAATGGCTATTTACGGTCAAACAACAAGCTGATGGGACAATTGAGCGATACAAGACAAGGATGGTTTCTAAAGGATTCACTCAGATGTATGACATTGACTATCAGGCAAAAAGTGCCCCAATGGAAAGGATGAATTTTATACATGCCTATTCTATTGTATAAGTAATTTGGGGTAGAGCCTACAACAGTTGGATGTGAAGAATGTCTTTCTCCATGGAGACTGAGAGGAGAAGGTATATCTGTAGGTTTGTCATCTTAGATAATTGAAGGGAAGATGTATAAGTTAAAAAAGTTACTTTATGGGTTGAAATAATCACCTAGAGCTTGGTTTGACTGGTTTCTCAAAGTCATGTTTAAATTTGGATATAATAGTCATGTTGGTCGTGCTATGTTCATTAGATAAGTAGATGATGAGATAACAGTTCTCATTGTATATGTGGATGATATAATGATAATTGGGTAATAGTGTTGGTGATGTTGTGGATAAGGAGAGGTATTAGAGATTTGTGGGGAGATTGATATATCTTTCTCATATTTGGCCAGATATTGCTCATGCGGTGGGGTTTGTAAGTTAATTCATACATGATTCTCGAATCCCTCATTTTGAAGCTGTTTATCGTATTTTCAAGTATCTCTAGTTACCTGAAAATGGATCTTGTTTTTCAACAATGGACATTTGAAACTGGAAGCATTCACTGATGATGCAGACTGGACAAGTTCGGTGGATGACAAAAGATCCATTTCGGACCACTACATCTTGATAGGAGAAAACATTATTACATGGCGAAATAAAAAGCAAGCAGTGGTAGTAAGGTCTAGTATCGAGACTGAATACAAAGTAATGATCTATTGTGATTTTGAGCTTATGTGGCTTCCAATTTTATTAGGTGAGCTCACAATTTGTGATAATGGGCCTATAAGATTATACTATGATAATAAGACAACCATTAAAATTGCACACCATTCAATTCAACATGATAGAACTAAACATGTTCAAATTGATTGACACTTCGTCAAAGAGAAGCTAAACAAGGGTTTGATTTGCATCCCTTTTGTGAAATTAGAAAATCAGTTGACCGATGTTTTCACAAAGAGCGTTAGTAGTAATTTTTTTCATCCTATTGTTTACAAGTTGGCATGAGAGATATATACACCAACATAAGAGAGTGTTATGTTATGTTAAGATGTATTTCTAGTTTAAGGGTGTTTTTGATACTTTTGTATATACATTGGGATGTAGATGTATAACTCTAACACTACTCTCTTTCTTTGTCTCTTTGCTTTTGAATCGTAATGACTTCACAATCTAACTATTAGATAATCAAAGGAGATACTTAAAGAAGGTCATGCGAGTGGATAATAATTAGAGCTTATCTGAGCTCTCTCAGACACATATGTGAGTAGAGAGGTCAACGAATGAAGCAAAAGGCCAAAGAGGGTCATTAGACTGGATACACCAAAGTTTTCAGGGACTCTTGAATAGGAATGTGTGGCCAAAGATGTCAACCAATGATAATGAATACCTACGGCTAGGCCAGACAATCGTGCTGGACCATCTTAATTTGTGTCGGTTCTTAGATGGTTTGTGTTAAAAACCATTCAACCCGTATACAACTTGTTTATTAAATGGGTATAAATTGCAAAATTGAATAGTTTATTTATTAAATGGGTCAACCAACCCAACCCGTGTTGCCTGCCAATTCTATAACAAAAAATTCTTAATTAAAATTCCCAACTTTGCAACAAATTGGGTCAGCTATTAAACCAGCAATATGGTGATAAGAGAATAAGTGGGTGATAAATGAGTAATTGTGTGGTAAACACGTAATTGAGTGATACGACAATTTATTAAAGGGGTAATCTGGTCCTATACCGGTTAAGGTACTCCACCTGAACATGACTTGTTTATTACGCGGGTTCACCCATTTAGCACCCAAACCCAAACTCAAACCCAAACCCAAATCCACTAATTTTGTGTCGGATAATCAGGTCATGTTGAATTTTGCCAAGCATACCTATGACAGTCCAGCGCTAGATGTGATGACTCTTTGAGTGTAGTATCCAATTCTCAATGGGCTTCTAAGTCCTACTTTGATGGGGATCTCTTCCCCATGAATGCCAGCTTAAGGACTTAGGTAAGCACATTTTCTCTGTAAATTCCGTACACTTTACCACCTTTGCTAAATTAAGCATCGGTGTGCCTCTGGCCATCATTCCATAGGTTTTTGGCAATTTGTTTGTTTTGCAAGATTGTGACATCTTGAGCGCATATGTCAATTACCATTCCTCATTTTGACAGGTACAAATTTTCCTCGTAAACCAACTTGGATAAAATCCTGAAATTGATAGAGATTGAAGAAAGAAGAAAGTAGCAGAAGAAAGCTACGGAAGAACAACTCGAATTTCAAGAAGAGAAATCGATTATTCTTAAGTTAATAATCTAGCCAAACCCATTTAATATAAATCCCTTTTTCAGGCAGCCATAAAATACCCACTTAATAACTTCCAAATATAATATCAGTGTAATATTTNGGATAAATCCCTTTTTTAGGCAGCCATAAAATACCCACTTAATAACTTCCAAATATAATATCAGTGTAATATTTAAGAATCGGCCACAAGCCTTTGACAAAGCTACAAAACGAATCCTCATAAGAAATACATACGAAGCCAACAAAGCAATCAGCTTTAGTAACAATGTTCTCTAGAATAGCTTAAAGTGAGAGCTCTTCTTGGAACTAGCAATTTGGCATCTAAGAAATGCATGCCCATGTCCCATTTTTGATTCATTGGACAAGTAAAATGAAAATTTCCTTCATTTTATGACCATGTCCATAAAAACCAAGAATCCAGGGATACTTAAGCATATCAGTTGTCATCAGGAATTATGCCTTCCCATACCAGTATAAAGCCAAAGCTTCTGCTTGATTGCATATGCTAAAACTGGGGGCTGTGAGAAAGCACTGAACAATTCTCTTTCCTGATCCTTGATCACACTTGTTCAAAAGTGACCTGGATTACTTAAAGACAACCATCAAAACTAATTTGATTTTCCCATCGGAAGTGCATGCAAGATCTGGGCAGACTTCATGTATAGCTTGAGGTGGGGCCACTTCAGGTTCCTCAAAATTACAAAGCCAGTCTATTTCATATATGATCCACACAAGGATCCTGTCCTTTAAAAATTGTACCTACCTTTCTGATTTCGCTGTTTGCACTTCTATTTTCTTCTTTGTTCATTAAATTTTATAATTACAGGCAATAATAGAAGCCAATAGCTTGGTTTTTTTTTGAATGAAATGAATTTCTATCAACTCAAGACAATTCTCGGTTTCAGCTACAGGAATCTTCTTTGCCTTAGTTCTTATATAGTGTGATTTGTTCCATTAAACAATAGACAATCATGTCTCTGTTCATATCTTTGGGCCTTTGCACACATATGTTTTGGTCTTCCTCTTGGTATTGCACTGCTGTGAGTTTGCAGCAAGTTACTTGTTTTTGGTGCAGTTAAACATTTTTGATAAAATATTGACTTTTTAAATTTTGGTTGATATAAATGAGCGCCGCTGGGGTAGCGTGGTTATCGTCCAGGCCTGCACGTGCATTTTTGGGAATGCCTGGCTATGTTATGACTCGAAATTCTTACTTTGCCCTTCATCTTAAATTATATAGCAGTACATTGAGTACATATAAATGTGTGTAAGGACCCACTGTTGTATATGTAAGATTTTCTTTGTTTATGTAGATTACTTGATTGTAAGTACAAGTTGCTGGAAAAGCAGTTTACTTTCTTTGTTCTGATGATTTCCTGTTTATCAGTATAGCAGCTATAATTTACTACTTATGCTTTATTTTATTTGTTTCTGTGAGCAGGAACAACTTGATGGTGCTGGTATTGAACTCTCAAGCCTCTATAAGTGGATTGAAAGTCAGGCTCCAAATGGTNCAATTTACTACTTATGCTTTATTTTATTTGTTTCTGTGAGCAGGAACAACTTGATGGCGCTGGTATTGAACTCTCAAGCCTCTATAAGTGGATTGAAAGTCAGGCTCCAAATGGTTGCTGCACTGAAGCATGGAAAAAGAGGACACACTGGGTCGGAACTCAAGTGACCAATGACATTACTGAATCAATTGCCAGCGCTGAAAAATATCTCCAAATCCACAGGCCTGTGCGAAAGTAGGTTTTTCTTTCTTTTTCAAATTCGGAATCCTGAAGGGGCGGAGAGTTATTTCTTATTTTGAAGATTTGCGTTGTGAGACAGACGGCATGGAAAAATGCTGGAGGAGGGTGCCAGTGGTTTTTTGGGGAAAAAAATTGCTATTGATGACAGCAGGGAAGCCAAGCAAGGCAATGTAGATTCTGATTGGATCTCTTTCAACAAGATAATTTCTGACCGTTCATCTGTGGATAGTACTTTATTTGGCAGTGAGAATTGGGCTTCTGTTTACTTGGCCAGCACACCACAGCAAGCTGCTGAATTGGGCCTTAAATTTTCTGGAGTTGATGAGGTCTGGTTTTCATGCTTGAATGTTGTTTTGATAGCTTGTGGCTAAACTACGCTGGACTCCTTTATCACTCTTGTGATACTTAAAAAACCGTAACTTCATTAGTTATCTATCCACATCTTATATTACTGCTGGATGCTTTATTGTGTAATATGTCACACTCCCTTACCCCTAACAACCAAGGAGCAGAAAAAAGGATATGATCTAGAATTTTTCCTGCTAATGAGCTCCCTCACTTCTTAGTTCTCCTTGGGTCCTGTAATTTCGAGTCTAAGTTTGTTTTCTTTCACTGTCTTTTATTTGTATATGGTGCACAAAATTTGGATTCTGTTTAGTTGAACTGTTTATTTGATTAGTCACTTTATCTGTTATGTGAAGGACATGCATTGAATAGAATTTTCTTGTTGCTTTGGGGGTGTGTGTAAGTATTTTGAAACTAACCAGTGGAGGCCTTAACAACAAATAGCGAGAGAGGCAGGGGGAATAATTTCCAAACAAGGATGTGCATAGGAAAAAAATGCGATGGATGAGAATATTTCTTACTAAGGTTTTGAAAAGGTTACATGACAATTTTGATACAACAATTACTTGGTCTGTTTGGACATTGCTTTTGACTTGGCCTTTAGATTTAGGAGCAGGGGTNATCTGTGGATAGTACTTTATTTGGCAGTGAGAATTGGGCTTCTGTTTACTTGGCCAGCACACCACAGCAAGCTGCTGAATTGGGCNGTCTGTGGATAGTACTTTGTTTGGCAGCGAGAATTGGGCTTCTGTTTACTTGGCCAGCACACCACAGCAAGCTGCTGAATTGGGCCTTAAATTTTCTGGAGTTGATGAGGTCTGGTTTTCATGCTTGAATGTTGTTTTGATAGCTTGTGGCTAAACTACGCTGGACTCCTTTATCACTCTTGTGATACTTAAAAAACCGTAACTTCATTAGTTATCTATCCACATCTTATATTACTGCTGGATGCTTTATTGTGTAATATGTCACACTCCCTTACCCCTAACAACCAAGGAGCAGAAAAAAGGATATGATCTAGAATTTTTCCTGCTAATGAGCTCCCTCACTTCTTAGTTCTCCTTGGGTCCTGTAATTTCGAGTCTAAGTTTGTTTTCTTTCACTGTCTTTTATTTGTATATGGTGCACAAAATTTGGATTCTGTTTAGTTGAACTGTTTATTTGATTAGTCACTTTATCTGTTATGTGAAGGACATGCATTGAATAGAATTTTCTTGTTGCTTTGGGGGTGTGTGTAAGTATTTTGAAACTAACCAGTGGAGGCCTTAACAACAAATAGCGAGAGAGACAGGGGGAATAATTTCCAAACAAGGATGTGCATAGGAAAAAAATGCGATGGATGAGAATATTTCTTACTAAGGTTTTGAAAAGGTTACATGACAATTTTGATACAACAATTACTTGGTCTGTTTGGACATTGCTTTTGACTTGGCCTTTAGATTTAGGAGCAGGGGTGGAGCCAGGAATTCAGAATAGGGATGGCACTTTAACTACAAGTTTTAATTAATTTTTTTAATCGATAAAAATAAAACAATACATTTATAGTTATTTATGTAGAGATCAATTGTAAAAAGTGGAATCATGGTGAGTTAGCACTGCTGCATGTGGATGTCATTTTTCTTAATGTTTGGTTTTTGGTTTACATGTAGCACTTTCTTGGTGTAATGCCTTGCAGTTGGATTTCTTGTCCAACTATGCTTCATTTTGTGTTGCATCAAGTTNCATGTTTGGTTTTTGGTTACATGTAGCACTTTCTAGGTGTAATGCCTTGCAGTTGGACTTCTTGTCCAACTATGCTTCATTTTGTGTTGCATCAAGTTGTTTTATTAATAAAATCNAATGTTTGGTTTTTGGTTTACATGTAGCACTTTCTTGGTGTAATGCCTTGCAGTTGGATTTCTTGTCCAACTATGCTTCATTTTGTGTTGCATCAAGTTGTTTTATTAATAAAATCTTTGTTTCTTATCAAAAAAAAAAAATTTGCACAAATGAACAGTACCAACAGGACTACAATGAACTAGAGGCAACAATAAATTCAACCGTAACAATCAAAAATAGGATAAACTACGCAGAACTAGCGTTGAATCAGCGAAAAAATGGGGAGCTGGCACTGAAAAACATAAAATGAGTACTGAACCAAACTGAAAACACCAAAATTGGTATTGAACTGGGCTGAAAAAAATTTAACTGACACTGAACTACTTTGGATACCACTAAAACAGCAACAAACTGGTCCAAAAACCACTGAACCAGAACTAAGTTGTGCTAAAATCACTGAACTGACACTGAATCGTGATCTCTTAGCTAGCCCTAAACTAGTGAAAACCACTGAGCTGACAGTAATCTGGTTTGAAAACACTAAACCGACATTGAAATGATATGAAAACCATCAAACCAACACCAAACTATGTTGAACACCACTGAATCGACACTAAACTGACCATTAAAAACATTGAAATGATACTAAACTGGGCTAAAATCACTGAACTGACACCAAGCTGTGCTGAAATTACTAAACCGACAATAAATTGGGCTAATAACACTGAACCATGATGAAAATCATTAAACCAACACCAAACTTGGCCAAAAAACCAGTGAACCCGCACTAAACTGAGCTTAAACACAAAACATGGATTTAACCGGATGAAAAACACTAAACTAGCACCAAGCTGGGCCAAAAAAAAAAACTAAATCGGGATGAACATAGATACGCAACAACTGGTGAGCAAAGAGATGACTACAACTTGATGTGTGTAGGCCTGGTATAATCCCTAGGGGATTGAGACGTGCTCGCCTCGGGCCGCACTCATCTATTTCGCTTTGATACCAAGTTGAAACTTGAATAGTTGAATATTATGATTTATGGAAAGAAAGAGATGAAGAATAAGAGTGGAAAAAATTGATAATGAAATAATATTATGTGTAGGGTTGGATAAAGTGTACACCCTGTTATCTATTTATATTATATTTAACTTGAAGATAATTGTAATATCAGGAAAACCGAACATTATATGAAAGTAACAAGAATGTAAAACTATAACAAAGTTGATTTTAGATTTCATTTTTGTTTTCCCTTCTTCTTCTTCCTCCTCTTTTTTTTTCACATATATATGTGGAAATCTTTATCCTTTTTGATTGTCAGGTGGAGGAAATTGATGACATTGAAGGTGATCCCAGTGACCCATTCTTTGCAGATGCCATAGCGAATGAAAGGGAATTAAATCTTTCTGAAGAGCAAAAGAGAAATTTCAGGAAGGTTTGTAAATGTTATTCTCTAGCAGGATGATATTCTTTCGTGCATGTAGTTTTTAGACCAAGTTTTTTTTTTTTAAATCTTAAAAGCATTGTTTCATTTTCTATGTGAATTTTTGGTTTGATTATTGTTAAGAACTAACTCATCTAAAAGCTTAAGATATTAGAGATGGTTTAACTTGAGTATTTATGCTTTATCACGCCACCTCACGTGAAGGCTAGATGCTAGGCATAGCCCATGGAAATCTTTTAAATTGTTAGGGTGGGGGTGAGATTTGAACACATGATTTCTTGTTTTGATACCATGTTAACAACCAACTCATCTAAAAGCTTAATTTGATTATCTTGCTATTTGTGCGTGTTTGTCTGAGGAAGCTATATTCTGTATGCATTATCTGGAAAATGATAGAAACAATTGTTCTAAATGTAATTTGGTTAGGGCTAAGGGAAGGTTATGGCTATTAGTTATCTAGATTGTCTTATCTCTAGATGCTATAAAACCCTAATAGTCTCTTAAGCATCTCGAGCATTAGGCCGCTCAAGGATATAACCCCAAAAGAGAGATTACATCATAAAAATATTACGAGTCAAAATTTTCTTTTATGCATCCTAAAAAAAGATTCGTAGATTTTAGGAAGCTCTAACCAAACTAAGCAATACAATGTAGAAAACCCTGGATGGATAACCAACAAATGAACTTTCAAAATGAACCAAATTAATCCTAACAAAGAATGAAAAACTACTTACTGATAACTTAACACTCCTAAAGCATAAAATTGCTAAAGGCACATAAGTGCTGGTTCCTTGATTTTCTTATTTATTGTTCCTGCATATTTCCCTCGGGTTCAACCACTAACTTTTTTAGCATGCAAATGTGGATTGCTCTGCTGGTATGCAAGAAAGTGGTTGAGATTGAAGAAGCACTGCTGGCTGTTGGCTTTGAATAAGTATAGTGATAAATTGACTTCAACCAACATGTCGTTGTCCTTTTGTTTATTGTCCCCAAGTCTGCCTAATGGAATATCACAAGAATTAAGAACACTTTCGTAATATGCAACCTTTGCTTTATATTGTCCTTTCTTGATCTTTAACTTGACAACAATGNGTTTATTGTCCCCAAGTCTGCCTAATGGAATATCACAAGAATTAAGAACACTTTCATAATATGCAACCTTTGCTTTATATTGTCCTTTCTTGATCTTTAACTTGACAACAATGTCCAACACATTTGTGGGTTCAAGACTCTAATGAGTAATGCTCTAATTGAATCGTTCACCCTAAAACCAAGGAAACTTGGTTTCTATTAGTGTTTGTTGTTGTCAGTAGATGAGGGTGCTATGGTAATTTTTAAGATTATATTTTCATATAAATACATGGGGTAAAGGAATNTAATTGAATCGTTCACCCTAAAACCAAGGAAACTTGGTTTCTATTAGTGTTTGTTGTTGTCAGTAGATGATGGTGCTATGGTAATTTTTAAGATTATATTTTCATATAAATACATGGGGTAAAGGAATGACTCTTTCCACATAGACCATACTCCTATTATTTGTCGTGCTCTTTCCGTTTATTCACTTTTGCAGGCATTGTGTATAACATTTAACTTGGCATCAATCACTAAAAGCTAGAACCTGTTGAGCATCATCTGAGGGTTGTTAGAGTACGAAATAAAAGCTTAATTGATGAGTAACGTTAGCATCCGTTCGACTGATACCTTGCTTAACCCATCATGTGGATATTTATGGTGAATTTTGCGAATTTTTAAAGCCGTTTGTTGTGTTCTTCCATTTTCAAGTATTTTTGGACTTTTGGACCTATTTTTTGAATCATATTTTTGGAGATTGTTCCGCTTAGTTTTCTATGATCTACCTAGCCAGCCGAGTCCAACTAACCCATATGGNCTGATACCTTGCTTAACCCATCATGTGGATATTTATGGTGAATTTTGCGAATTTTTAAAGCCGTTTGTTGTGTTTTTCCATTTTCAAGTATTTTTGGACTTTTGGACCTATTTTTTGAATCATATTTTTGGAGATCGTTCCGCTTAGTTTTCTATGATCTACCTAGCCAGCCGAGTCCAACTAACCCATATGGTGTGGATTTTGATCGAAACAAATGAACACAACCAACAATACAACAATGAATCATAAGCAATAACAACTTAAATTGCAACCCTCGCAAATTGGGTAAATTAAGCAGAATTGGAGTTTTTTTTTTTTTGATTAGAGCAGAATTGGAGACATCTTTTTCTTACTTAATAACTGAGTGGACCAATTGCTGTGAAGTGGCCCCTTCATATATAGCTGGGTTTGCAGTGACAAAAGACCAGTGTTGAGAGGAGTCACCATGGCCCATATATGCGAGGACCATGGATCTGACCGGTGCATGGAAGAAGGAAAAAGACAAGGACTAATAGAGCAAAAAAAAACTTCATAAGCATGGGTTTCACGGTCTGAATCAACTAAAAAGATGTTGAAAATCACAAAAACTATATTGAATTGCAATGAAAGCTTCAATTGAAACTGAACCTTGATGAAAACCACTAAACCACTTAATCGGAATTAAATCGAGTTGAAAACATTGAATCGAAATTAATCTGGAATAAAAACTACTAAATCAGCACCAAGTTGTGTTTGAACCAACACTAAATCGGGTTGAAATTATTGAAGCAGAATTAAACTAGGATAAAAACCACTAAAGTAGCACTAAACTGTGCCAAAAACACTAAACCAAAATTAGCCCAGGTTGAAAACATTGAACCAGAATGAACATGGATAAACCAGCGCCAAATTGTGCTGACAACATTGAATCGGAATTAAATAAGTTACAAATGCTAAATTGGAATTAAATTAGGATGAAAACCACTAAACTAGTACCAAATTGACTTGAAAACCACCGAACCAGCACTAAATCGGGGTGAAACATTGAACTGGAATTGAGCAAGATGAAAATCACTACGCAAGTATCAAACTGGGCTGAAAACTATTGAACCGATACTAAACCGGGTGAAAAACACTATTCCGAAATTAATTCGAGATGAAAACTACCACACTAACACTAGATTGAGCCGAAAAACATTGAACTGACACTAAACCAAACTGAGAACACCAGAGTAAAACCGATCTAGGAGGAAAACTACCAAACCAACACCAAATTGGGTTGAACGTCGCTAAATTTAACTGAAACAGTAAAATCCACGTAGACGAGCAGAGACCAAAAACATGGACACGATTTCAGTCACCCCACAGTAACTGATAATGATCACAACAACCAATGAAAAACACAGGATGACTACACCCAAGTGTCTTGCTTTGATACCAAGATGAAACTTGAATAATTGTATTTTAGGGTTAAGGGAAAAAAAGAGAAGAAGAAGAGAGAAAGAAAGAGAGTATAAAACAATATTGTGTGTTGGGTGTGTATTGTCAACATCCCATCATCTATTTATAATAGATTGATATATTGTAATATTAGNATCTATTTCGTTTGAAATAGTAACCTTTGCACAAATAGTACTTTTACATTGGTGGTAATACGTTACCTGCTACTAGAAAGTATTTAGGAGGACACATTTCATTGTTCGAAACTCTTTGCTAGAAAGCTCACTTTGTCCATCAAGGGCTTGTTCTTCTTACTCAGCTCACACACTTGAGCTTTAGACTTCAACAAATCTATACGAAGTGCTTCTTGTCATTCTTAGTTTTTCTGAGCTCCATGCTCAAGTTAAGCACTCTTTTATTTTTTTAGGGCATTCCTCAAAAAGTTCCTTATAAGCATTATAGGGTTTTCTGCACTGTTCTCTTCATCTTCACTTGAGGATTCCTCACTCTTCAAGTCTTCACCACGGTAGTATGACATGAGACATCAACATTCTCAATTGAAGGTAGTGAGGGTTGTGAAGTTTGTGAAACAACAAAAGCCATGAAATTTTCTAATCTTGAGAAAAAGTTTTCTCATCCTAACTCCATTTTGACTCACTATTGCTCCACTTGGTTTTCATTGCTTTCCTTTTCTCTTGGGTCACATATTTTTTCTTTTTCTTGTTTGAGCACTCGGATGCTATGTGTCCAAACTCCAAACCCATGCCACTTGTAGCATTGCGCTAGTCGACCATTTTTCTCAGCACTTTGCTGATTTTTGTTTGCTTCTTTACTCTCTATTTGAGTGTTAGATCTCTCAAATTTCTTAGATTAGGAGGAGCCACCACTTCTAGCCTTGAATTACCTCCTAAACTTCCTCACAAAATAAGGTTAGGTCCTCGTCTCCCAGTGGAGTTGACACTGACTCATTTTCGTCTTTATTTATAGAACTTAGGGCAATGTCCTTGGTTTTTTGGGTTGACAAGGATTCAAACCTCTTTGGTAGAAATATCAAGATTTTTCAAAGTAGGGTCGAATCCTCATATTTCATTTCTAGTGTGAAGGATGAATTAACTATGTCACTATGTCGTGCATAGAACTCACTAACTGTAGGGGTGGTCCAACCTACTTGAACAGTTAACCACACATGTTCATCTATTGATTTGAGAGATGCTCTCATACGAGTCTTCCAATATGCATAATTGGTTCTACCGACTGTTGGTGGTCTTGTTTTCGATCCTCGCTCTCTTGAAGAATCAATACAAACAATTTGGGATTTGTGATAGATCTCAACAAACACAAGCAACTAGGTCAAAAGTCTCAAGGATACCTACAANTTTCCAATATGCATAATTGGTTCTACCGAATGGTGGTGGTCTTGTTTTCGATCCTCGCTCTCTTTAAGAATCAATACAAACAATTTGGGATTTGTGATAGATCTCAACAAACACAAGCAACTAGGTCAAAAGTCTCAAGGATACCTACAAAGTGCCTAGGTCAAGAATTCTTGAGGTATTTGACTCTTATACCAATTGGGAGTGCGAAATATGGATCTATCTTGATATGTTTAAACCACGTAATTGACCAGGGAGAGGGGGGGGTTAAATAGGTCTTATCCACTGTACAGTGGAATTTATGTTCAAATAAACTTATCCCACTTAATTACAATATGATTAGCAAATTAGTTCAATTAACCTCTCAATGATCATGACCAATGACCAGTTTAGTAATTGTGTGCAAAANCTAGAATTACTCTTTGTGGTTGGTAAAATGTTGTGTCCCTTAAGACACGTAAGATCTCCTTAAAAGTTTGTTATCTTGTAGTTTTTGAAGACAAGGATCTAAGCAAATATCAACTATTGAGCTCTTGGTAATGCATTAAAACGATCCCCNACCCCCAATTTAATTTAATGGAAAACATGCACAATCCACCAACCTTATCTCTCCAATCATTTCCTCCCATTTACAATTGATTTGGCAATTTTATTGTGGAAATCCCTTCGGGAAAAACCACGGGANCCCCCAATTTAATTTAATGGAAAACATGCACAATCCACCAACCTTATCTCTCCAATCATTTCCCCCCATTTACAATTGATTTGGCAATTTTATTGTGGAAATCCCTTCGGGAAAAACCACGGGACTATAGTCCACCTAATCTAATTCAGTAGTTTCAAAGTTTTGATTATAATTTTGAAGGCTTATACCTTAACTAATACTATGGTTAGAAGCTTCTTTCCGTGTATGTTCACTTTGGAAATCCACCACAAGAGCTTTGACAACTAACTGCAATAGGCAATGAATTGAACTACATGATCCGTTCTTGGAATCCTTCTTCTTTTCCTTTGGAATCCTCTCATTCATCCTTGGTAGCCTCCTTGGATCTTTTGTGTTGTGAGTTTTGGTGGTCTACAAGATTTTTGAAGGTTCTTGCTCAAATTCTAATTCAATGTTAGATCATGTAGAGATTGGTGTCTTTGGTGCTAGGGTAAGTTCTTCTAAGTCTTGATAGTCTCTCTTAAACCCTAGAGCTTCTTTTGTGCCTACTTGTACTAGGTTAGAGAACACACCTTCAATTTAACCCAAAATACACAAGTGCCATATTGCGGATTTAGTATTGCACACTCTAAATCCATTTTAGTAAGTTAAACCAAAGTAGGGCAACTATATATCTATGTCATCTTACCTCACCTAAGTTTGATGGGATCCAAGAAATTTCTTCTTTTTGCAATGAAACTTGAGTTTTTCACCATGTCTTGCTTTGGTCTTCAATCTTCATAAGTGAACTCACGGAATAAGCCAATTCCAATGAATTTAGTAACGTTGTTGTGGGCTAAAGCCTTGTATTTAATACTTGTTAGATGGATATAGTCAGTAAAGCACTTCATGGTTGATAAAAAAAAAAAAAAGAGTAGAGCACTTCATGTGTGACATCGATACTCCTCCCTCATATAGTTGATGCTTAGAATAGATCAACATTTAGAGCATTGTGTGTGTTTTTAGTGCAATTTTATCTATGAAAAATCTGGTTAGTACCCTAGTGCGTAGTTTTGGTTATGCTGTATTGTTCGGTCTAGAGAATTTTCATATTGAGTAATCTCATTCTTACTAATTGGATGAGTGAACATATCCTTATTTATACACCAAATCCAGAATTACTCTTTGTGGTTGGTAAAATGTTGTGTCCCTTAAGACACATAAGATCTCCTTAAAAGTTTGTTATCTTGTAGTTTTTGAAGACAAGGATCTAAGCAAATATCAACTATTGAGCTCTTGGNGCTAGGGTAAGTTCTTCTAAGTCTTGATAGTCTCTCTTAAACCCTAGAGCTTCTTTTGTGCCTACTTGTACTAGGTTAGAGAACACACCTTCAATTTAACCCAAAATACACAAGTGCCATATTGCGGATTTAGTATTGCACACTCTAAATCCATTTTAGTAAGTTAAACCAAAGTAGGGCAACTATATATCTATGTCATCTTACCTCACCTAAGTTTGATGGGATCCAAGAAATTTCTTCTTTTTGCAATGAAACTTGAGTTTTTCACCATGTCTTGCTTTGGTCTTCAATCTTCATAAGTGAACTCACGGAATAAGCCAATTCCAATGAATTTAGTAACGTTGTTGTGGGCTAAAGCCTTGTATTTAATACTTGTTAGATGGATATAGTCAGTAAAGCACTTCATGGTTGATAAAAAAAAAAAAAAGAGTAGAGCACTTCATGTGTGACATCGATACTCCTCCCTCATATAGTTGATGCTTAGAATAGATCAACATTTAGAGCATTGTGTGTGTTTTTAGTGCAATTTTATCTATGAAAAATCTGGTTAGTACCCTAGTGCGTAGTTTTGGTTATGCTGTATTGTTCGGTCTAGAGAATTTTCATATTGAGTAATCTCATTCTTACTAATTGGATGAGTGAACATATCCTTATTTATACACCAAATCCAGAATTACTCTTTGTGGTTGGTAAAATGTTGTGTCCCTTAAGACACATAAGATCTCCTTAAAAGTTTGTTATCTTGTAGTTTTTGAAGACAAGGATCTAAGCAAATATCAACTATTGAGCTCTTGGTAATGCATTAAAACGATCCCCCTCTCACTTCTGAGATGTTTTGTAAGAGGCTCCTAGTTTTTCAATCTCTTTCCCCCATCTTTTTCATTGTTGGGCCTTTGTTTTGCTTAAAGCCATAACAACATGATGTTGAGGATCTTGAAATACACGGTTCTTAAGGCTTTTAGTGTTATACATCTTAGGCACTTTAANATATTGCGGATTTAGTATTGCACACTCTAAATCCATTTTAGTAAGTTAAACCAAAGTAGGGCAACTATATATCTATGTCATCTTACCTCACCTAAGTTTGATGGGATCCAAGAAATTTCTTCTTTTTGCAATGAAACTTGAGTTTTTCACCATGTCTTGCTTTGGTCTTCAATCTTCATAAGTGAACTCACGGAATAAGCCAATTCCAATGAATTTAGTAACGTTGTTGTGGGCTAAAGCCTTGTATTTAATACTTGTTAGATGGATATAGTCAGTAAAGCACTTCATGGTTGATAAAAAAAAAAAAAAGAGTAGAGCACTTCATGTGTGACATCGATACTCCTCCCTCATATAGTTGATGCTTAGAATAGATCAACATTTAGAGCATTGTGTGTGTTTTTAGTGCAATTTTATCTATGAAAAATCTGGTTAGTACCCTAGTGCGTAGTTTTGGTTATGCTGTATTGTTCGGTCTAGAGAATTTTCATATTGAGTAATCTCATTCTTACTAATTGGATGAGTGAACATATCCTTATTTATACACCAAATCTAGAATTACTCTTTGTGGTTGGTAAAATGTTGTGTCCCTTAAGACACATAAGATCTCCTTAAAAGTTTGTTATCTTGTAGTTTTTGAAGACAAGGATCTAAGCAAATATCAACTATTGAGCTCTTGGTAATGCATTAAAACGATCCCCCTCTCACTTCTGAGATGTTTTGTAAGAGGCTCCTAGTTTTTCAATCTCTTCCCCCCATCTTTTCATTGTTGGGCCTTTGTTTTGCTTAAAGCCATAACAACATGATGTTGATGATCTTGAAATACACGGTTCTTAAGGCTTTTAGTGTTATACATCTTAGGCACTTTAAGAATTCTTTGTATAAATGCAATCCTAAAATGTATTTTCCTGAATAGATTAAGTTTATGGCCATGTATATTGTTAGAACATCCAACTCACCAATTGGCAATGAGTGATGAGGCACTTTGACCATAAAGCTAACATTGGATGACCCTAATCATTTGATACGGGATACATGATATCTTTACACCTTCCCTCCTGTGAGATTTGGGTTTGTATGTGGGACTAACTAACACATTGATAAACACATGCTGGAGAATGAGTCCGAGACTTGGTTCGTTGACCACCTAAAGCCCAGATTTGATACCAAGTTAGAGTATCAATTGCAATGAGTGAAGGGCCCTTTAACTAGATAAACAACCTTGAGTGACTCTAAACTTTCGATATGCTAAGTCTATCGAAGTATGTCTACTTGAGTGACTTGGGATTTTCTGTCTATTAGACGTGGGCATTGGTAATGTCTATCTAAATTCTGACACTTGAATTGACCTATATTTGACTTATTGTTACTGTGCTTCTTTTGTTCTATTCTTATTCAGGAGGCTATTCAGAAAGAAGTTTCTTTGGTTGATAGCTTGATGGAGAGCAGTTTAGATGGTTTGGATCCTTCAAATGTTTACTCTCATGTTGTTTCAAGTGAGGACGCTCGTGGGGACCTTGATTCTGCGTTCAATGATAAAAATAATGATATTGCATGCCAAAGTTCAAAGGATGATGCTTTTGATACTCTTGACAAAGAAAACTCAAAGAATGATGGTTCTTTGCCCGATTTAATTGAGCCCAGGATGTCCAAGCGTTTGCGTGACAACGATGAACCTCGTCACTCAGAGAGTTTGAATGACAATTTTTGCTGTACTGCTTGTGATAAAATGATTACTGAAGTGCACTCGCATCCACTTTTGAAAGTAATTGTTTGTTTGGACTGCAAAGGACTTATGGAAGCAAAGATTGGAGTGGAGGTTTGTTTTATAATAGTGTTCTTCCCAAGTTATAACAAACTTTCATTGGTTTTGTAGATCTTTGGTAGTAGAAGCTAGATATGTCTGGCTAAATGAGTATATTTAGAACCCTGTATAAGTTAATAAGGATTGCCGATCCTTTACGATGTACTATTGATCGCATCGGAAAGAAAAATTGTCTATTTCGCAGTGTCTCGAATTTTATAATAAGAGTAAATTGTCTTTGATGTAGCGAAATTCATAGTAATTTAACGTTTGGTATTATGTTGATTTGCAACACCATGCTCATACATGATTGTCATTTTTTTAAGGGTAAATTACTTTTTATTCCTTGTTGTTTTAGCTAGAAGTATCTTATCTACTTGACGTTTAAAATTATACACATTACCCTCTTGTATTTATGTACTAAAGTGAAATGGTTACTTTTATCATCCAAATTAATGGAGAGTGTGCTCCATACGTCCAAATCATATTGTGGCTCTAAAAGAATATTGTCTAAGTGCCTAAAATTCCCTTTATAATATATGGTATAATACTCAAATAAGTAAGACATCGGTCTAGATAAAAAAAATGTAAGAAAAACATAAATAATTTTTGGCCACAGATCAAAATCTCACTCGAGGGAAAAAGAGATTCGACATGTTTGATTGAAATATGTTGGTTTATTGTCATGTTCCATTAGTTTTATGTTTAAGGGTAAATCAGATCAACAATCTTATTTTAAAATGTGGGTATTATGGTAATTTTTTAATTTCATTAACGGTGCCAATTACTTCAATTTGGTACATAACTATGAGGGGGTAATGTATATAATTTTAAACATCAAGTAGGTAAGGTGCTTCTAGCCAAACTCACAAGTGGGGTTAAAAACAATTAACCCTTCTTTTAAAGCATAGTTTGTATATGTTGAATCATTGTCACTGCTTATCAGGATTGCTTTTCCTTTAGGATGACTATGATTGCCTTTTAGAAAGAAAAATTGCTTATTTTTCAGTGTTTCAAATCCTAGAAGAGTAAATTGCCTTTGATGTGGTGAAATGCACAGTAATTTAAAGCTTGGTATTGTCGTTGTTTTGTAAGAGCACTGGCGCATGCTTGTTAGGTTTTTTTTTTTTTTTAATTATTTGACCATTAAACCAATATATGTTGTACTGAAACCTATTTATAATGGAGTGATCTGCAATGCTCTTTTATGTTTCATCTTATGTATTGGGTTGATTTATTTTACAGGATCCTGATTGCTCTGAGTGCTACTGTGGATGGTGTGGACAAAACAGTGATTTAGTAAGATGTAGGTCATGTGAAACATTATTTTGTTCCATGTGTATCAAGAGGAACCTTGGTGAGGAATTACTGTTAGAAGCCCAGGCGTCTGGTTGGCAATGTTGTTGTTGCTGTCCAAATATCCTGCAGCAGTTAATCTCACAACTGGAAAATGTCGTCGAATCAGGAAGCCTGATGGTTTCTGGTTCAGACAGTGATTCGGAGTATTCAGATACTGATGTCAATGTTGTTGTCAGGTACATTGGATTAGTTGTCTATATTTGCAATTGGTGTATTCTGTGGCAGTATAAGATCTGGTATAATCAATATTGCCTGTTGACACTGGTAGTCATGAGCATGATTCTAGATGGTTGGTCAGGGCCATTCTTTTAGGCCAAGGATAAACTGCCTAACATCACTTGAGAGGTTGTACCCCTGAAATCAGAGATGGGCGGCTTGTTTACATGTGATGTTTCACTGCCTCCCTCTTTTTCTCCTTTCATGTTTTACTTTGGCGTTGCTTCGTCTTTTGCATTTTCCTTTTCAGTCATCCATAAATGTTACAATCAGAGTTATTAAGACTCCAGTTATACTTTGGCCTTAAGTTTTCGGTTTGTTTGCTTTTAGAGCTGGATTTTATACTGTATTTAAATCTTGATTATGTTCCTTTTGTATCAGTTCCAGAAGAAGACGAAAAAAGAAAATTCGGAGAATCCTTGATGATGCTGAATTAGGGGAAGAGACTAAAAGGAAAATTGCAATCGAAAAGGTAATGTTTTACTTAATTAGATCATTCATTTGAAACTGAATTCTGACCAGAGTCTTTTTTCAGGAGCGTCAAGAACGTCTCAAGTGCTTGGAAGCACAGTTTTCTACCAAGACAATGATGATGAGTTCTGCAAGCTTGAATGGGAATGTATCTGAAGGTGGTGGTGTTGAAGTGCTGGGTGATACTTCAACAGGTTATATAGTTAATGTTGTAAGGGAAGAAGGTGAAGAGGTTGTGAGGATTCCTCCAAGCATCTCAGCTAAATTGAAAGCCCATCAGGTTCTCTTCCCATTATTAGATGACTGTATGATTTTGACTTGGTTTCAACAAAATGGATTATTACAATTGGATATATGATTGTTTGGGTTTCCTGTGATTTTCTTCTTTTCTTTTCATTCTTTTTCCTCGTGTAACAAGAGAACCTTCTTGTCCTTTTACACTTACGTCCTAAGAATTCGTCCACTTCACTTGTAGATTAGTACTTGGTAGTTATTACTGTACTATAGCTTTCTTGATTTGTTGTGTAAAACTGCACAACAATTCTTGGATTTTCAACATTACTTGGTATGTTAGAATTGGAGGAGTTTGAAATTGTATTTTTCTACTTGAAAAGCTGCATTTACCTTGCCTATCCTAGCACCTTAGCTCCATATGGTTTAAAAAACCTACATTTTGACCCCTTATGGTTTTTAATTGAAGTCTGATGGCAAACATTTCCCTAGTAAAAAGGGGGCTTTGAATGTAGGGCTGTTCTTATTTTACCGGAGGGGTTTGAATTAGCTCTTCCCGATTGTATTTATCCTGAGATGAAAGAAAAGATAGGCAATCTATCTTTTCAGAGCTATCGCCCCAATAAAAAAAATATTCTTGTGATAGGCCTTGTTCCTGGTCAGAAATATGGAGAAATTCTTTTTCCTATTCTTTCCCCGGCCCCCGCTACTAAGAAAGATGTTCACTTCTTAAAATACCCTATATACGTAGGCGGAAACTGGGGAAGGGGGCAGATTTATCCTGATGTACAGTGTAGTTTAGCCTTATCTTATCGTTTTGTTGATTTTATCATTTCTTGATAAGGCTTGGCTTTATTTTCGCAGAGTTGTGCATTGAATATCATGTACTTGATAATGCAGTGATGTGCTTTTCTGGGTCAAAGTGGTTTAGACTGATGAACATTGATGTTATCTGAATTAATCAAGTGCTTCTGAGCCTACAGATTCCCATTGAGATTGGACCTGTGGCAATAACTTGAAAACTTCTTGGCGAATTTTTATTAATGTAGATAGGTAGTGATTCTTAGTTTTCACTTCTCTCACTGTGAGAAAAGGCAAAAAAGCTTGTCCTAGGTGAGCCTGAAATTCAAGATCTTGGGGTGTTGGCAAAAACATTTAGATAGATCCCCCTCTCAGCGAAAGTTCTGCACATGTTAGCAGAACCATTTAGGCAGCCATATTTGATCTGAATGGTGACAGAACGCCTGGTCCCTGTGGCTTTCATGTAGTATTGTATGATGTATGAGGACAGTAATATGATCCGGTTTTGTTGGAGAGTGTGGAGGACCACTTTAGTGGAAAAAGAAAATTGAATAACATTTCCATTTCTTTGGAATCCATGCTTTGTGAGGTTAACTTCCTGCCCAAGAAGTACAATACCTTGAGCTAGAATGCCTATCATGAAGTAAGCTTGCTCAATCTGCATCTATACAGCTTTTAATTTCAGGGGTCATTATTAGAAAATGGTATTTCCTTGCCTGGAGCAAACTTTGGGTATTTTGGGATATGGCTTATTGTCTATAGTGGAGTGCAAGGATCATGCTTGAACTGGCTAGCAACTCTACTGCATAAGTTATATCAATCTATATGTGGATGTGTTTTAGAAAGATATATCAATCTTCCTACAAGTCTCTTATATCTTCATTTGTCCAACTTCACTTCTAGGGTGATGTTTGTCTTTGATATCAGACTTTTAGGTTATTACGTAACATATCTGTTTATTCTAGCAGATCAAGGATGTATTTCCTTTGACAGTCGAGAATAACTTGATCATTTTAATCCTAAGAAAGTAACACAAATTTGCTAACTTTTTTATTCCAAATTCCTTGGCTAGGTGATCATTCAAACTCATGGTTTAAAGTCGTGGTTTCAGATTTTGACTCGGAGGGTACTGATACATATCAGTTCTGGCTGTGGTACGGTATCGGCCGATACGCAAAAGTACTAGATAGAGCTTAAAAAATTTAAAAAAAATGATGAAAACTTTTAAAAAGTGTGAGCAACAACATCTATACACCTAAACTCTCAACCCTAAACCCTAAACCCTAAACCCGTTGGGTTTGTTTGGTATGTGGGTTTGAGGGGTTTTTGAAACATGGGTCGGGGAATAAATCCCCTCAAACAAATGTTTGGAAAATACACATCTACCCCAGGGTTTGAAACCCATCACGGTTTAGGCCTGGTCATGAAACCCAAGTTCATGGGTTTCATGATACCCATGGGGGGTGAGTTTCATATGTGGGTTAATGGATTTAACATCTAAATGACATTTATACCCCCGTATATCCTATATACACCATATTGGTTAAGGGGCATAATAGTCATTTATATACAAATATATTATCATAATAGTCATATATCTCTGCGCATATCAACAATAGGTATGGACAACATTAAATGTTGAATTCCATCTTTTTGGGTTTAGAAGGGTTTGGACAAGTCAATCCAAACTCCTCCAAAAAAAAACATACCAAACTTACCCTTAAATCCTAAACTCTTAAACCTCTCAACCCTAAATCCTAAATCCTAAAACCCTAAACCCGTAAAACCCTCAACCGTCAATAATGTGTGTTGTTGTAGGCAGCACAACCCAGAGACCCCAGACTCACCCCAACTTCCTAGCAGTGGCAAGCCACATAATGTATCAAAGAAGAACAAGAAGTGGACAATCCTTGCAATTATTTTTTATGTATTTACAGTTGCAGAAGGGAGTGATTTATGATTTATCTATTGCTTCTGGGTTTCTGATTTAGGTTTGAAAATTTACAAGTAAGTTAGTTTTTTTTCTTCCTTTCTTTTTTCTCGTTAGATTTTTCTAATTTTTCTGGGATTTTGTCGACTGATTAACATCACTTTAGTCCGGCCCGGTCTCAATCTCATGATTCGCCTTCGAGTTGGGCCGATTTCACTGAGTCTTTACCAAGTCAACGCCGATTCGACTATGTCTTGTTATATTTGTGTAATTAGTATCCCTATCAGATCAGAGGTGCTCGAGTTATCAGTTGATACTTTGAACCATGTTCAAACTATATACTTCAACTGGGTTATTGCTTGCAACAATAATATCATTCCATGATTACCACAATTCACTAAATCCTTAACGACCTACGATCTGGGTACATCAATCTTAAACAAGGTGGATTCACGTCCATTGTTTCGATTCATTTAGGATCTGCATAAGCTTCCTTACTCTTTTGAGTGACAGACATAGAAGACATGGAGGAAACAACTCACCATAGGAAGGAGACAAGGAGCTATATGAAAGAAATATATAGGGTGCTGGTTATAAGTTTGAAATCCCCTTTTGAATATAAGTTGGAATTCTAGTATTATTATTAACACGATAAAAAAAATAGGGGAAAATTCATCAACTGAATGCAATAATAGTATGTTGGAGATGGAGTTGGAGATTGAGATTGTCTCTAGGGCACAAGAATGGTAATTTGCTTCTCTTGATATGTAGAACTAACATGTCTAGGTCGAACGCATCTCCACAAAGCTTCTCTATCAAGTAGCTCAAAAAAATAAGGGATAGTTCTTTCTGCTCTTAACTATTTTTCTCATCAGGAGGGGTCAAGTTTATTGCTCCCCCCTCATCATTCTACTCATCATGAGGACTTGACTGTTCATCCCCACCACAGAGGATAGGCATCTGGTGAAAAAACACATCTTCCTCCATATTACTCTTACCTCGTGAACAGATGGTCAGGTAGGAAGATTATCTTCTCTTATATTTGTGAACTTTAATATCCATGCTAAAACAAAATTTCTGGGTGGAAGACAATAGTACTTGTATCCTTTTTGCGCGGAAGAGTACCTAAGGAAACCAATTGGTATTGCTCTTGGATAAAAGTTTATGGCTAGAGTTTCTATAATCATGGGCAAAGCAGATGTAACCAAATACAGGAGGAGGAATAAGCTGACTAGAAGTAGTTTCTTGGAGTAACTTGACAGAAGTTTTGAACACCAAGACTTTGGGTAGCAATCAATCAATGACACACTATTGGGAAAACTGTATTGGCCTAAGAGTACTTAGAAAACTTATGGTAACGTTGGAGATCGAGCCAATTCAAGAAAATAACAATTTTTTCTCTCAGCTACCCATTATGTGCTGGTGTGTCACACAACTGGTTTGAATGGTAATCCCATGGTCACCAAGATAGCTAAAAATTCCCCAACAACATATTCTCTTACATTTTTACTTCTGATAGCCCAGTCCCTGGCATCTAAATCTACCTGGTTGCTCACCATCTTGTGAAATGTTTCAAAATTTGAGAACATGTCACTTTCCTATCCAAGCATGTATACCCATTGATTTGAGAAAAAATCAGGGTCCCACACATCAGAATGAGCTATCGATATCTCGAAATATAAATAGTTTGGGTAGGGTCCCATACATCAGAGTGATCAACCATTTGCTTTTATTATTGCTACTAGAAGAGGAGGTTCGTTTATGCTTGCTAAACTCACAAGCATCGCAAACAAAAATGTTACTTCACAGTCAAACTGCGTAATAAGAAATAGGAAAAAAGCCTCTCCATTACACCAAAAGATAAATGTCTTGATTGTCTATGCCACTGATGTACTTCCTGGAGTGCTATCATCTTGAAGTGCCGGTGTGGGCAAACCCATTGAAGTGTGCCAAGGGGCATTGTCTAGCAGATACAAACCACCACGTGGCATATTTTATTGGCAATTGTTTTCTTGGTCTTCATTTCATGACAAACACAATGAAGAGAGAATGTTACCAAGCAATTCAAGACTTGTTGATGGGGGCTAACAAAAGAAAAATATTAGGAAAATGAGCAACATGAAAAACCTTAAGAAATGATATGAAAGGAGAGCAATACATAGAACCTTTGCTAGACACAAATGACAAAGAACCATATGCGACCCCAACCTTTTTGATATTGTAACATGTGGAATGAGAGAGAAAAGGCTCTTATGATTTATGGCCCTAGAGTCGATAATCAGAGGAGAAGAGGGGGATTGACACTATGGGTAAGTGCAGGAATCGTTATATGGACAATGCTAGAGGAGCCATAAGATGTTTAAGAATATGCAATTCTTCTTTGGAGAAAGTAGCAGGATCAACATTGACAGCAGTAGGCAAGACTTCAGTAGTTTTAGACATTTGATCTTAATCCATCACAAATACGTCCCCAGGCAGGACATCCATGAAGCTTCCAATAATGATGTCGAGTGTGTATTAGGTTTCCATAATAGTCACTTTTTTGTTGAATTTTTAAAATCCCACTCTTTTTACTAGTACGAGTCTTTATTTATTTTGATCCGTTTGTGGACCAATAGCCAAAGGAGATAGATCTTTGGTCACAAGTATGGATCATAAACCTCCTCCTGCTCTCTTCTTGCTGCACATATACATGTGCTTGATGCTAGGATAGAAAATGGCCTCTACCTAGCACTAGCATCCGAATGTGATCATATTGCATATAAAGCCTGACCAAAAAATCAGTAGTACCATCTTCTTGATTTTGACTTGCACAATCTGTTGGAAATCATGATAGGAGTATGACTCCTAGCACAAATTCTTGAGCTCTATATGATATATGTTTTTGAGTCGTGAACCTTTTTACGTCGTTCATATCATAGTTATCAAAATCATATGATTCGCGATTCGATTTGTTCGATTCGGTTTGATACAGGTACAAAATGATTCAATTCTTGTATGAGAATCATTTCTAAAGTTGAATCGCATCTAAATCGTGCGATTCAATTCATATCACATGAATCGCACGATTCATTCACTTTTTTTTTAAAACCCAATTTTTTGGCAAAAAAGATGTCGTTTTGTTCGTTAAACAATAAAACGACGTTATTTTGTTTGCGGATGAACCTACGCCTTAATAAAAACTCAGCCTCTTTGTTCGTTCTCTCCCTCTGTTTCTGACATCGTCTAAAGCTCGCCTTACGTTGTCTGAAGCTAACGGTCACGGCTAACGCTTTTCCGTCATCGATTGATTTTTTGCTCTCAAGTCTTTTATGGGTAGATTGTTAGGTTCTAATTTTTTATTTCAAAATGTTGGCATGTATGTTTTTTCCCAATCAATTTTTTTTTCCATTCATGTTTATAACCTAATCTATACTGGGTGTCACTATTTTGGTTCTTGAATACCCATGGTTCTTTAATGAATTTTTTTTTCAAGTTGTTAAATTTGAAAATGATTAAGTAAAAGATGAAAATGAAATAAAAGGCTAGCGTCTTTCCATTTAAACGACGTGATTATGTCAATTAATTATTTTTAGAATGTAATAATGTTCAATATTCAATATTTTGACTATTTTAAATATATAGTATTATCTTTTATTTTTGTTCAAATTTTATCTCGATTCGATACGATTCACGATTCACAAATTTAGAATTCCGATTCACGATACGAATCGCGATTTGACGACTCTGGTTCATATACATTGTCATAATTTCCAACTTGCGAATTGGTATGAGCCATTACTGTCCAAATTTCATAAACTGTCTCAATGAAAAGGAACTGCAATTGATTTGGATTGCATAGAATTAAGGAGCCAAGACATATCCAAGGAATTTTTTGAGTCATTTATTAAATGTTAGATCTAAGGATCAAAATTTTGTTTCAAAACGATCGAAATATTTCCATTTTCAAGAATACCGAAACAAATAATTGATGGAATCGAAATTTTAATACTTCGAGATGTTTCATAATATTTCAAGGTGTTTTGTAATGCTTCAATGTATTTGCATTTATATTATTGTTTCAAAGTATTTCGAGGTATTTGAAGATATTTTTGTATATTTCGATCAATACTTTGGAAAAATAATTTTTAAATTTTTTATTTTTTTTATTCTATTTCCGAAACGACTCAAAACGTTTTCGAAATACTTTGAAACGTTTCCGTTTTCGAAATACTTTGAAATGTTTCCATTTCTTAAGTGACTGAAATAATGTATCGAAATGAAATTTTGATCCTTGGTTGGATCATGCCTTCAATTAGCCAAATGAAATTGATATTAAACAAGCCTCTGACCACGTTACATTGTTGGTTCGGGCCAATTTCACTAGTCTAATCAGAAAAGGTGAGTTACTTCCTAGAATGCCCACAAGACTCACCCTACTCCCCTAACCGCTAGTAGAGGCTGTACTCACAACTTATCTACTGAACAAATCTGTCCCACTTCTCAAAATATGCAAGTGTATGGGACCCAAAAATAACCAAAGGAATCGGGATTTTAATTTGCATCACAAAAAAGAATTCCAATAACTATGGCAACCCAAAAAAGAATTGGGGGACCCTCAATCTACCAAAATTATTCTGAAAAAGAAGCGAAGTAGTGTTGTTGAAGATAGTAGAACACTGGTTAGACTTCTGGATTGAAGCAAATTGTTTAAAAATGCAACCAATTTTCAAACTCCCAAGGCTTGGATGCTATTTGGGGTTATGTCAACAAGAATTAGCTACTCAAACAATGCCAAACAACAAATAAAAAATGCAACGTATTTTTTTTTTCCAAAAGTCGTTCAAAAAAATAAAAATTCCATCAAATGGATCTAAAAGGATTTTAAATAGTATGTATAATTCTTAGAGGAGTTGAAATAATCATTCTATGTGTTTACTGTTGCCAGTTGTTTGTCATCGCATGTCAGCATGATGTCATCATTTGGATGTTGGTGTCAAAACACATCTTTTGCTTCTTGACAATGTTCATTTCTTTTAATTTCTTCTAGGCTTTGATTACAATCGTAATTGATATTTAGGGTGTAAGAAATAAAACAGAGTTACATCATCTCTCATACCCAAAATTTTTCATAACATAACACCTATGTGATTCCCATGTTTGGCTTGGATAAACCATTGGGTTGTTATGGATTTGTGGAAGTAGTATGATTTCAACTCAACAAAGTTTTTTCCCTACATTTTTGGGGTCGACTACATGAATCCTATTTTGTCATCGCATTCTATAGTATTCTATCTTCCTACTCAATACTTTGTGGAAGAATTTTTTCTTGTCCTATCCTATCTGATTAAATATACTATTCCTATTCGAATTCCGTCCAAAACAATCGGTTAGAAAGTCGGGTGAATATATATTTTTTTGGTTATTAATTTTTGAATTATTTTAACAATTTAATTCAGTAACCAACAATTAACTAACGCAATGAACCAATAACACTAAAGAAAATGCAATAAATTCGATAATACATAAACAATTACAATAAAACATAACAAGAAAGTCATAAATATCAATACTTCATATATAAGAAAGTCATAAACATCAATAAAACATTAGGGTTTATATATATATATATAAGGTAGGCTAAAAATACGAAAATTTGATAGGTACTTCGCATTCTTACCCGATTCTTTTCGGGTAGCCGATTAGTAAGGTAGAGTAAGGTAGGATCGGAATTTGCAAGTAATCGAAAATTTGAACACCACTAGTTCTATTAAAGATCATGTTTTCTGTTAAACCATAAGTTATGATATCATTTTTTACTATTTCATTGAAAGTTAATTTTGGTCTTTCTCGACTCTTATTCTTACCATCAATTGATATCATATCACTCTTTCTCACCGGTGCCGTAGTAGGCCATTTATATATATGTCTAAACCACCTTAATCGATTTTCTCTTAATTTACTCCAATATGTTGCCATCTTTATTTTTTTCACGGATATATCCGTTCATAATTTTATCCTTCCAAGTTTTACAAAACATCTATTTTAACATTCTTATTTTTCACAGTCCACACACTCAATTTTTGAATGTGTTGTTTTTTAGTTGCCCAACACTTTGTACCATAAAGCATAGCCGGTCTTGTGACCATCCTATAGAACTTTTTTTTTCGCTTAAGAGGCATGCGTCTATCAGACATTACATCCTATGCATTTCTTCATTTGGTCCCTCCATTAATTCTATCGGTAACATCATTGCCAATCTCACACTTTATGAATAATAGACTCTAAAAATTTAAAGTGTCAAGTCTCCAGTATTTCTTAATCTTTAATTTTTACTACTTCCTAGTTGCGATTTCTCCTTCTACTAAAGTTGCATTCCATGTATTCAGTTTTAAAATTTTAGTCATATTTAGACTAAATCCTTTTGATTTTAGGTCTTCTTGCCCTTTTTCTAGTTTGTTATTAATTCTATGCAAGCAGTCTAACCTAATGCGGCTTAATCTTCAGCCTTGACGTATGTGCCTGATATACTTATCTATCCAACCATGTATTGAAGACCAACTCTAGTGTCTTAAGTTCAATGCCAGGTTGTGTTTTGGAAAATGTGATAAGATGCAGTCTTGGCTCTTCCAATTTTTTCCTACTATTGTAGTCTTTTGTTCCATTCTGTTGTACTTATTGTGGAGAAGGCATTAGAGTATACTGAAAATTTTTAACTGGCTTATTGCTGCAGATTGCTGGGATACGATTCATGTGGGAAAATATCATTGAGTCAATAAGAAAAGTGAAGTCTGGGGACAGAGGTCTTGGTTGCATTCTAGCCCATACCATGGGCCTAGGTAAAACTTTTCAGGTATCATGTTTTGGGCCTCCTTGGCATTCTGTTTCTGTTGCAAGTGATATAACACAAAGTCTATCGTCTTTTAGTATCATGACTTTCTTTGTCTATGGTGTCCATTTGTTGACTTCAATGTTTTTCATTTTTTTTGTGGTGAAAGGTGTGGGCGTATTTGGTTGGCAAAAAACTGGTCCTTCTAATAAGATTAGCACATTTATTCAGTAGTTTCTGGTGATTAGAGTGATTAAAGGAGAAAACTCCTCAATACAAATGCTTGGTTTTTTCCTCAAACATTAATTGTACGGTTAGTTGACCTCTGATTTTTAATGACATATAATTTATATTTGTACATATGCGGAATAGCTAACATGGTGGCTTCATGCTTTCCTCTGGATGGCTTTTAACTAAGAATATTTATCATTCACATGTCATTTTTTATATGTTTGTATTTTACAAGCCCATTGTTTCTCTCCTTAATATTGGACTATTTCAAATGTGTCAGTCACTATCTTATTGGTTCATCTAACTTCTGCGTTTGAACTTGAGAATGAGTTTGGATTCTTTGGAATCTATGAATACATGTTGCAGCCATGGTCAACTGATGGAATTTTGTTCCCTGAGCTGTCAAACTTTGTTTTCAGGTAATAGCTTTCTTGTATGCTGCTATGAGAGGGGTGGATTTAGGATTAAAAACTGCACTTATTGTCACACCTGTAAGTGTTCTGCACAATTGGCGGCATGAGTTCTTGAAGTGGAGACCCACAGAGTTGAAGCCCCTCCGTGTCTTCATGCTGCAAGATGTTCTAAGGTTTTTTCAGCTATCTCATTGTTTCTTTTTTTCCCATGTTATACTAATAGGTACTCCATTGGACTTTTTCCTTGCTATGTTATGTCTGATGATGTATTTAAGTTTTTGAGCATCCATTGTCTTTCTTTTTATATTACTGTATGCTTTCCAACAGATAGATCGACCAATGAATGTATCATTGTTTGGACTTGTCACATAAACCAAATATCTGCAAGAATAGTGTGGTTTGGATTGCTCTTTTGTTTTCATAAGATGGATTATCTTCAGCAGCACGAGTGTGTCAGGTTTCTTGATTTTGAAACCATGTTAGGTGTTAATCAAGGCTTTGAGGACACTAGGCTTGTGAACCAAAATTTTGAAGGGTTAGCTTGAGAACTCCCATCAAGAGATGCAGGAATCTGGTTGAAAGCGAATCTAAGCTGGCCTTACTTACTTTACGAAGCAATCCTGTTCAACTGGTCTATTTTGCGGACATATTGATGGCAGATAGGAACTCTCAGCTGCAGTCAAAGTACTATTTGAGCCTGGAGTTTAGGGTTGAATTTAGTGACCGTTATATAATTCTGTTTTATTAGGGGTTTATATGAGAAAAGTTTGGAAAAGTTGTAGTACATCTTTAAAGTGAAACTGTCATGCTTGGTTTTAGGCTTGACCTATGATTTTGGAGAAAAATCAGGATTGTTTTGATATGTTCAGTTTGTGTAGCCATATAGGTTTGTTTGGAGTTCCTTTGAGTCTTTGACTTCTAGTCAATTGATTTTATACTGCATAAGTGTGGATGGCATCTTTCCCATGTTCGTAAACCATCTCATATAGAAGTTGCTTCTTGAATTCTTTATAATAGGTTGAACTTAGTACTTGGAAATGGTGTTGTGTCAGATGCCACAGAAGACTGTTCTTACGTCATAGGACAGTCTGTTGGAAGCTGCCACATGTTGCTTTCCTTGGCTGGTAGGACCAAGTTAGGGCAGACTCATATGTGGCACGTAATTCTTCGTTTACTTGAGGTATCCCACTTGATCCAGTGTCTCTCCTCAATCCCTATTCTACAGTTCTACTTGCTTGAGTGAAGTCGAATTCTGTCAATTATTTGAATACCACTTGGTCCAGTTGAATTGGACTTGTTATTTGCAGATCCTGAGTGGGAACTAGTATGCCATAAAAGAAGGGCACTAGATATTATGGATCCATGGGCCAAAGCCTTGGCTTTGGGATGAACTCATATGTCAGAGCCTGCTCTCTGATTCTCAAATGTGTGAAATGTGTGATGTGAATCTAGTAGTTTCTTGACTTTGTTAGATAATTGTCCCAAGTGTGGCTAAATTAGGGAAAACGAACAATTATTTTTTGGCAAAATATTTATGAAACTGAAGAAATTTTGACTAATTCTAGGGATTTTGTTGGGTAGTTTCCGTTGTTTTCATTGTTTCAGCCTACATCCATCTCTTCTGTTCTTTCTTCATTCCTCTTGTTTTGGAGCTCCTCTTCCATGCTTTAGTTTTCCATTTTCACAGTGGGTTTATTTTTTCTTAATTTCTGTCTCCGTAAGAGCTCAATTCTCGGAACATCGTATTTTCTTAAAGTTGATATGATCTTTCCTTTCTGGTCACTTGTCTTATAATTTTCCTGAGTTTACTTTGTCAGGGAGAGAAGAGCGGAGTTGCTGGCAAAGTGGAGATCTAAAGGTGGTGTTTTCTTGATTGGCTATACCGCTTTTCGAAATTTGTCTCTCGGAAAGTATATGAAGGATCGTCACATGGCTAGGGATATTTGTCATGCCCTTCAGGTGATTGTTTTTATCTTTCTTGACTGGATCTAGTGACCTCACAACTAAAAGGAAAAAAAAGAGAGGAAGAATATTGTGTACCATCACTGCTTTGCAATTGTACATTCACGTGGTGAATATGGATTGTTTGAATTCGAGATTATCCAAAGTGAAGCAATCCACAAGATAATGTCTTGAAAGCTCAATAATTTTATATGTTGTCATCATTTTGTTCTAATTCTTTGACTTGGTGGTTGCTTTCAGCATGTGTAGAAGATATGTCTAATTTAATTATTGGATAATCTTTTAGTGAAAGATTTAAATAACAAATAAATTATCTAACATATATATTTCGGAAGGAGAACTCATAAGTTGTGCTTGAAGAGACATTTTCTTCTTCAAGTGAAATCCCTGTAACATTGCCTCTTTATTGCATCTTTTAATGGATCTACTTGTACTTGAAGCCAAGTTAAAAAGTTAACATGCCTAAGTTCAATGCCTGCTTAATAAATCATAGATTATGGGTTGTGTGAGCCGTTGGGATTTTATTTGAGTATTGTTTTCACCATTCATCTTAATGTGTTCCTAGAACCCTAGTCTTTCGATAACAAAATGATTTGAACTATCATTAATCTTGTTGTATTTGCCCTTATGTTTTATCTGGACTTCAAGCAATGTGTGGAATTTTAAATGTTGTCTATCAGGACCTTGACAAATAGTTTACGAGTACTCACCTGCAAAACCACTACAGTTTTAACCAATAAAGCTGTGGGATGCTGCTGAACATTGTTCTTGACATATTTTTGAAGACCGTGACCGTCCTTTAAATTAAGCAATCCATTGGACAAAAAGTTACAGGAAATCAAAGTGGGAAAGTAAATGCTGAAAGAATTGTTGGTAGGTTGACAATTACTTTACGAGTACTCCCTTGGACAACCTCTACAGTTTTAACTAATAAAGCTTTGGGATGCTGCTGAACATTGTTCTTGATGTATTTTTGATGACCATGACCATCGTTAAATTAAGCAATCCATTGCACAAAAAGTTACAGGAAATCAAAGTTGGAAAGAAAATGCTGAAAGAATTGTTGGTAGGTTGAGTACATTTCATTATAGAACAAATAAGGATGAACGTCTGAAGAAATAATGCAGTGGAAGGCAGCAAGATAAAATGGGGGTCAACAGGATTATAGAGTGATGCTCAATGTACAGATCTGTAGGGTGTAACTGTATGAAATTGTTCTGAAATTTTATACCAATCCCTTCCTAACTGCCCTGAGATTGTATATTGTGCTTAAAAATAAGTAACACACGTAGCGTCCATTTCGGTTTCCTAAGTGAAGGATGCTTTATTTCGGACAGAATACCTGTTAATATATCCTGCTTTTCCTTTTTTCTATTTATCTGCACACAAATTTGCCAATGATTTTTAAACTAATGTGTTGTTGCTCAGCTTGTTTCTAGTAATTTCTGTGCTAAGTTCTTCTCCTTGTCTTGAAAACTGTTGCGTCATTCAACTGTCAGCTAAAGTGGTTTCCATTTATATGTTGTATATCTTACTAATATGGAAAACTTATGGATAGGATTATCTTTGCTTGGAGAGGAATCTTTACCCTAGATTTTGACATAAATTTGTCCGTTTGAAATTCTAATTAAATCATCCATTATACGGGCAGTTGGGATTTCGTTTAAGTATTGTGTGTGTCTGCAGACAGCTGAAGGGATTCAATCATGTTGACTAATGTGCCCTTGTGGGTGCACGAATGCAATCATTTATGAACTTCATTGCAAAGGTAGAGAGATAGTAAGGGAATCTGTGAGTTTTAGCACTTAATTTAGTTATTATTGACATGTGACTAGATATTAGCGGTGGGATCCTACGAGTTAAGAGTGTGGCAGATGGTCAATTGGACAATATATGATTTCTGCCTGTCTTATTGCTGGTAGTAAAGGCCTTCTACTCTAGTACTCTGCGATCATTGTTGCCAAGTTGTATGGTACTAGAATTATGAATGAGAAAGCTTGTCCCATATCGATAGTATAACACCTCCTAAAAGTATATAAGCCTTGAGGGCCTCTCCACTCATTGTCAATTGACTAAGTTTGATGCTTAACATAGTATCAGAGCTGGGCTTGGGAGGGTTTGGACGAAACTCAATTTTTTTCAATCTGGTAATCACTTCCCCCTTTGTTTTTTTTTTCTTTGGGTGCACCTTTTATGTGTTTGAATTTGTTTTCTGATTTTCTGTCTACCCATCTGCTCATTGCCAATGTGTTCTGTGTTGGATGCTGCTTCAACAATGAACATCCTGGACTCTTGTGTAGGTCTGGGTTATTTGTAGAACTATTACTATCTGTTCTTAATATGCAGTTGCCTATTGAATTGTTCGTTCATCTTCTTTCTTCTAGGTGTCAGATTTGTTTAATTATGTAGATAATTGAGGGTTTTTTGTTGGTAGTCCCAGTTGATACTGTGCAGCTACCAATGGGATTATTAGTATCGTCTTATGTCTTTATACTGCTAAATCATATGTTTGAATTATACTTTACTTATATCTGGTTTAATCATATGTTTGAAGTATACTTTACCCGTCCTCTGGTTTCAATTACCATATGTTATTCCCTGGAACAATATACTTGTTACTGCATGAAGTTCAATCACCATATATTTAAGAATTTTGTGTTTAATTCTTTCCTTTTTTATCCATTCTTTAAGGATGGCTTTTGATGAAATCTTTGTTTTCTACATTTATCTTATGCTGGTGCTTATATTTGAAGAAACATATATAATTTTTTTTTCAGGATGGGCCTGATATCCTTGTTTGTGATGAGGCCCATATGATCAAGAACACCAGGGCTGATACAACCCAGGCCTTGAAACAAGTGAAATGTCAGAGAAGGATTGCATTAACTGGATCACCACTTCAGAACAATCTCATGGAATATTACTGTGTAAGTCGGTACCTCAGCTGTGATTTTGGCGACTTATGTGTACCTCTCCTCAGCATCGTGGTTATGTTGATTTTTGTTTTTGCAGATGGTTGATTTTGTAAGAGAAGGATTTCTTGGCAGCAGCCATGAGTTTAGGAACCGGCAAGATTCTTGACCAAATTGCTCTTATTTATGCTGTCCTTTTTTCTTTGCTTTCAGTCTCTTGATCATCCTTTCTCTTTGATGCAGTTTCCAAAATCCTATAGAAAATGGTCAACACACCAATTCTACGACTGATGATGTGAAGATTATGAACCAAAGATCACATATACTTTATGAACAGTTAAAAGGATTCGTGCAGAGAATGGACATGACTGTGGTGAAGAAGGATCTGCCTCCCAAAACAGTTTTCGTAATAGCTGTGAAGCTATCTCCATTACAGAGGAAATTATACAAAAAGTTTCTTGATGTCCATGGATTCACCAACAAACGAGATTCCAGTGAAAAGACACAAAAAAGATCTTTTTTTGCTGGGTACCAGGCCTTAGCACAGGTATGTTTCTGGTTAGCATGTTCATTGGCCTCCAATTTTCTAAGACAAACACACCCATACATCCTAGGAATTGATGCACAGCACCAGTTGGAGATGAAGTTATTGATAGAGGTTACATCGATACAATATGTTTTTTTGCAATAGCTTGTTTTTTACTTGTTTGTCTCACTCTATCCAACCGATGTTTGGATTGACAGTTCTTGAGTTGATTTTTATTGTCCTTTGCAAATGTGCTTTCTATTTTTGTTACATATACGAATCTAATGAAATTGTGGATTGTCCGTCGTAGATATGTAACCATCCTGGAATTTTGGAACTGATGAAAGAAGATAGAGGCTATATGAAACATGAAGATGCTGTTGAGAATTTTCTTGCTGAAGACAGCTGTAGTGATGATAACATTGATTATAATGAGATCGCTGGAGGTACCTTTTTCTTTACTTCCCAGCATCCTTGAATTATTGAACCAATTAAATTTGTGAGTTGAGGTTTTACTTCCCTCATCCTTGTGCAGAATGCTTTGTATTTTTTTTCTTTGCTTGAAGAATATGCTTTTCAATGTCATATCCGTATGATGTGGTATCATGAAATGTGAAACCAAAACATAGCTTCTGATGGAAACACATACTTAGCTACTTTGAACACTTGATATTGACGTGCTGTATCTGTGTAGGACACGACCATGGATTTTACATAGCTGGATTCGTCTCACACATGCTTTATTTCTTTAAGTGCTATGCTAACTAATTTCCCCTTGTGATAGAATTAGGGTTTGGAGAGAGGAGAAGGGTGAAGGCAGAGAGCTTACTGCTGTCCACAATCATCCATGTATATATATATTTTTGTAAAAACAAGTAAAGGACTAATATAGCCCTTACGGTATATATTTATTACAAGTCTACCACTCTCCTATATATTATAACACTCTCGCTCATGCTGGCGGATATATATCAGTTAGATTATTATGGTGTTAGGGTTTTGGAGAATAAGAGAGAGGGAGAGAGAGAGAATTAGAAAAAATATGGTAGTGTATTAGGTTATACAACTACACCTAAAATATATATAGTCTCATGGTACAAAGTAATAAACTATACTTAATCTAGGAAATAATGCATAACATAACACTGCCCATCGAGTTGGTGCATAGATCTCTCTCATACACAACTTGCAAACAATGGGTGAAAAAGCTTGCTACTAGGTCCTTTTGTGAAGATGTCAGCCAATTGGTTTTCTGATTTCACAATAGGCTTGCAAATTAAACCCTTATTTAATTTTTTCTTAATAAAGTGTCGATCAATTTGAACATGTTTAGTTTCATATCAAGGGCCATTCCTTAATGCTGTGGCATCTGTTTGGGCTAACGACTATGAGGTTATGGGTTCAAATAGGAGGGTAGCCACTTTGTGTATAGAATGACAAAGGTTAGGTCTCTATCTAATCCACCTCTGCCATCAGTCTTCTTTACTAGCGCCAAACTCAGAATTGGCCTTTCTATAATGTGGAAGAAGATTCTAATTCCTTGAGTTTAGTCTGATAGTGATTTTTCAAGTGGGAGGATTCGTGAAGAGCCTATTATGGACACAAATCACAAGCATTTAACCCCTTGAATTTTATTTTTGTAGTTATTCTATTTGATTCTCAAAATTTTATATTTTAGGTTTCAGGGTTATAATAGTCAAATCAACTCCTTTTTTTTTTTATCTTATTGACTAGGGTGTTTCAAAAGAGGATACTCTCTATGGAATTGATAGCACCTGCAGGTTGGGCTTTCAATGAAAATGGAAATCATTGTCATCGGATGAATTCTATCATTTTAAAAACTTTGTTCTGTTCTGTTAAATTAAGTTACTTCATACTTTTCTACTTGGTATATTGTGTCAATCGTATCTCTTGGGATCCATTTGGTAACAATTATATTGCCATGCTTATTGCAGAGAAGCTGAGGAACAAGAATGAAGTTCCACTCAGGAAAACTGATAATGGCTTTTTTCATGAGGTTTGAATGGACTTCCTGCTACTGGTTCACATCTTTTCTCTATCTCTCAGAGTGCATGTGGTGGAACCATATGTCGTGTATTTTCTTGTATGAGTACCCGAGGCGTGTGCATTAGATGTTATCCAAATCCAGTTTCTGATTCCCCATTTATGGTTGAAAACCTATACAATGATTGATGAAGTGTACTGCTTTAATTTGATTTTTGTTCAATGACTATTTTTTTCGTTTACTTTTTAACTGTTTTGCTCATCAAATCTGCTTCCAGGATTGGTGGAATGATCTTCTACAGGGAAAAAACTGTAAGGAAGTTGATTACAGTGGCAAAATGGTTTTGCTGCTTGATATCCTGACCATGTGCTCTGATGTTGGTGACAAGGCGCTTGTCTTTAGCCAGAGTATATCTACTCTAGATCTGATTGAACTTTATCTTTCAAAACTACATCGTCCAGGAAAAAAAGGGAAATGTTGGAAACAAGGAAAAGACTGGTATAGGTGGGTATTTTTCAGTTCAAGTATTTGGGAAATGGTAGTCATTGCATATGAAGTTGAAATGTTTCTGGGCTATTTTTGATCTGATATAATGTGGGAGCCCTCTTTTTGACATTGTCATCTTACTTGTCTTGTCCATCTGAATTCTTGATTTCCTTTATGATTGCTTCTAATATGACTGCCATTTTCTTTCTCTGCCTTAGTCAGACTTTACCTTTACCCAAGGACTAGAGGGTTTCATCCTATTCCTTTACGTATCTATGTTGCTGATTATAGTTAAACAACTAATTTGTCATTGCCATCTTTTTTTTTTTTTTAATAATTGAGTATTTTGTTGTTCTTTTTCTTTGGGAGTATTTTCCAAATACTGGTGAGATGACGTTGGTGACTAAACAAGCTTTTCCACGGGAACTTCCTCACTATCCTCATCCTCAAATTGCAAACACTTGACAAGTTCTGTTGTTTGTAGGACACCCAGCGAATGTCTCTTAATTGCTCTAGATGTCAGATTTTTCTTAATATTCTTTCCACAAGAACCTAATATTACTCCTTAAAACAATAAAATTTTTCACATAGGGATTTTTGACATTCCACAATGTGTATGGGTTTTGGCGAGTCCCGTGTCGAAAGTAAACTCCATCTACTGTGTCACAACTGATGTTCACCACTTTAGCCCAAACTCTCTGGGGCATGTCAACTAGGCAACATCACATAAGCTATTTATTTATGACTTTGCTTTTTCTCTCGACAACAGCATTTTTGCTGTACGGTCCTAGGAGTAGAGAATTCATGTTGCCCTATTGATCATACTACTCACTGATTTCGGAATTCTCAAACTTTCTGCCATGATCACAACAAATCTGAATAACTTTGGTAGTAGGTTCATGTTGTCATTGTAGATTCTCTGATAAATGCTCTTAAATTTTTTTCAAAAATTTTTGATTTCTCTCTTAAGTTCGAAATCTAAGTGAATCGATAGAAATCATCAACCACTACTGCATCGAAACGATTTCCACCTATACTCTCTTCACTAGTTGGACAGCCATGAGGTCCATGTGAATTAACTTTAGAGGACGATTGCTGGTCATAGCGTTTGATATCTTGTGTGAGATCCTACTATTTTCAAAATTGACATTTACCATGCTCAGTGTTAGGAGACTTTCCTAGTTTGGATACCTTTAACAAATTCTGTGCTAATTAAGTTTAGATCTGTAGAATTGATGTGTTAAAATATGAAATGAGAAACAAGGAGAAGATTTGCAGAGTAAGAGAGAGTTTTAAGAATGTGGTGACAGTTGGGAGAGAGCCCTAAGAATCAAATTAGGGTTATCTTCCTTAGCCCCATGTATTTATAATAATAAGACTCAAAGTACATAAATACCCCTCATGGCATATAAGACATCTCTTAACACTCCCCCTTGAGTTGAAGTATAAATATCTCACATGCCCAACTTACAAACAGTGGGATGAAAAACTTTACTACTAATTCCTTTAGTAAAAACATTTGTCAATTGATCTCTTGATTTGACAAAAGCTATATAGATCAACCCCTTATTTAGTTTCTCATTAATGAAATGTTTGTTAATCTCACTATGTTTGGTTCTGTTATGTTGAACTGGATTATGAGCAATATCAATAGTAGTCTTATCGTCGCAATACAACTTCATAGGCCCATCACTTGAAATTCTTAGGTCTTGCATCAAATTCTGAAGCCACTTAAGCTCACAAATGCCATTTGCTATAGCTCTATACTCTGCTTTAGCACTAAACCTGGTCACCATAGATTATTTTTACTATGCCAAGTATCTAGATTCCCTCCTATGAAAGTGAGGTGGATCTCCTATCATCAATTGAGCCAGCGCAATCAGCATCACTGAATGCCTCTAGCCTCAAGTAGCCATGGTTAGAGAACATGTCTTTTCTTGGAGCGGACTTAAGATACCTAATTCTGTGAGTAGCATATAGATATACTATATGAGGGTCATACATAAACTCGTTAACAACTCCCACGACATAAACAATATTTAGTCGAGTGTGAGCTAAGTATATCAATTTCCCTATTAGACGTTGGTACCTTTCTTTATCCACATAGTAACCTATGCCACTACTTAGCCTATGATTAGCCTCAATTGGTGTGTCCTCAAGTTTACGTCCCAACATGCTAGTCTCCTCAAGTAGGTCAAGAATTTACTTCCTCTGAGATATATAGATGTTATTAGATTTAGCAACCTTAATCCCTAGAAAGTGCTTCGATAGATCTAAGTCTTTGATCTCAAACTCCTTTACCAGTCATAATTTTAGTTGAGACATCTCCTTCACATCATTGCCAGTAACCACTATGTCATTCACTTAAACAATAAGAATAGTAATCATATCACTATTATATTTGATAAACATAGTAACGTCTGCATCACTTTGCTTGTATCCAAATCCTCGCATTGCTTTGAGAAATTGTTCAAACCAAGCTCTAGGAGATTGTTTTTAGCCATAAAGTTCTTTCCTTAACCGACAAACCTTTCCAATAGTATAATGAGAAGAAAACTTGGTGGAATATTCATATAACCCTCTTCCTCCAAGTTGTCATTAAGGAATGCATTCTTCACATCTAGTAGTGGTAAGAGCCAACCTAGATTAGCAGCACAAGGAAGAAGAGTGTGAATAGAATTCATCTTTTCAACATGGACAGAGGTCTTCTCATAGTCAATGCCATAAGTCTGAGTAAAACATTTGACAACCAACCTTGCCTTTTATCTTTCAACTGTTCGATCTGTCTTCTGTTTAACAGTAAATACACACTTACAACCTACTGATTTTTTCTCAGCTGGAAGTAAATAATTTCCAAGTGTTGATCTTGCTAAGAGCTTTCATTTCCTCTACAATAGCTTCTTTCAACTTAGGATCTACAATAGTTTTCTTCCAATCCTATGGAATAGATGCAAAAGATAAAGACAAAACAAAGTGATGACAAAAAGAAGACAAGGACGTATAAGAAACAAAATTAGAAATAGAATGTTGAGTACAAGATCTCATACCCTTTCTAAGAGCAATAGGTAGAGAACAATCATCAACATTTATAACAACAGGAGATGCAATAGGAGATTGAGACTTATCTTTTGAAGCCTCTATGGAAGAATCTGAAACTGAAGTTGGGGATGACAATTAAGTTGGTGGCACATGGATCATGGATGGTCTGCTCCTTTGAAAGTCGAAAATAACTCCGAAAATCAAGTCTATCCAACCGTCCACCAATATTATGTTCTTTAGTACAGTGTCTTTCTTCCCCTCACAACTACACTTGTCTTTCTCCTATTCACCACAAAAAATCTCTCTTAACAAAGGGAGAAAAAATGAGAGCCTTCTTGTTGCCTCTCTTCTTCATTACCGGTTTCCCCCTAAAGAGAGAACTGAGATAAAACAAAGCAAGGTTCGCTCTCATGAAATGTGACATCTATGCTAATACATTCTTTGTGAGACTGAGGATCATAACATTTGTGACCTTTATGAATCATAGAATATCCAACAAAGACACATTACACATCTTTAGGGTTGAGTTTACCTTGGGAATGAGACGAGACATGAAGAAAACAAGTACACCCAAACACCTTGGGAGAAGGAAAGGAGGGAGAAAGGGAGCTGGAGAGAATTTTAAGAGGAACTTTAAACTGAAGAACATTAGTGGGTATGCGATTAATAAGATATGCATCAGTAAGAAGAACATCCCCTAAAAGGTGTTGGGAACATTCATAGTGAACATAAGAGTGCGAACAATCTCAAGAAGATGACAGTTTTTGTGCTTCACAACCTTATTTTGTTCAGGATTGTTTACACAACTGATCTGATAAAGAATACCATGCTCTTCAAGGAATGCTCAGAATTTGGTATCAATATATTCAATTCTATTATCACACCTAGGTGTTTTAATGATAGAATCAAACCGGTTAGTCACAATTTTATGAAGAGCTTTAAATTAGGAAAATACTTCACTCTTGGTTCAGAGTAAATACACCCAAGTAATACGAGAATAACAATTAATGAATGTAACAAACCAATGATAACCATTGTGAGAAACAACTTAAGAGGGACCCTACACGTTAGAATGAATAAGCATAATGGTTAAATTACTTCTTTTATTAATGGAAGGATAATATGAATGTTATTCTTTGCAAACTTGCAAGCATCACAAACAAAACTGTTCCTATGACATTATTTAGCTAGCATAAGAAAAAGTTTCTCTAGAATAACAAAGGAAAGATGTCCTAAATGGCAGTGCCACTAAAGTAGGAGTGAAAAAGAAGATGCAGTATCCACTTGTAGATCCTGACCCAACTACAATGTAGATAAACAGACATTATCTAGCAAATAAAAACCAGTATGTGCTCTACTATTGTCAATTGTTTTCCTCGTCTTTAGTTCCTGCAACACATAATATGTAAGAAAAAATGTTATTGTGCTAATTGAGAAATTAGTAAGACTACTAATAAAGAGTAAATTAGTAAAGAAGTTTGGAACATGATGAACAGATGAAAGGTAAATGGAAGGAGAGCATTGTACAAAAAATTTTCCAAAAACTGAGGATAAAGAGGCATTGGCAACTCTCACTTTGTTCTTACTAGAATAAGGAGAGTAAGAACAAAAAAGGATAGAGGAACCTACAATATGGTCAGTAGCTCCAAAATCAATTACCCAAGGAGAAGAAGAAACGTTGAGAGCCTATGCTTGACTACTTATATGAGCAAAGTTGGAGGAAGTAGATGCACCGAGAGAAGCTATGGTAGATGAAGTGTCAAGTTTATCCATCAGATGCTTGAGATTGTACATCTCATCCTAAGAGAAAGCACTAGTATCAGCAGATGGGTTTAAGGAAGTATCTGAAACATGAGCTTGAGACTGCACAATACCATAACCAACTCCATGTCATGAGGTAGGACCAGTGTTATTTAAGGCGTAAAGCGAACCGAAGCGACCAAGGCTCCTAACGCCTAGGCGAGAAGCGAGAAGCGAAGCGACACGCTTTACCGAAGCAAAGCGAACAGTTAAAAAAAAATATATTTTAGTTTAATTACTTCTAAACAATCTAAGTTC